AACTGTATGCGATGCAAATAGTGTGTCGCTGTCCCTCTATATATCACAAATAACATGCTTTCAAACACTCTGATTATATGATCTGCCTTGCCATAATCTGGATTATGTATAAAATGTAGTTCTGTAACGTGTTTAGGCTCGCAGATTAACCATAAAACCCAGTTAAAAAGTTATTCGGTGAGGCAAACAGTACGCCTGCCTCAAGGCAGAGGGCGCTAGTGAGCCCACAGATTCTTGTGCTACCTACAATCTTCTTCATGCTTGTTTATATTATTTCCTTTGCAATCCGCCTTATCAAAATGGAAGATTACATTTCCAAGCTGAGAAAATTCATAAATCTGGACTTTCAATCAAAACATTTTTGACAGTCTGGACATTTTTGTCCAGAAGGATCTTCTTTATTGAAAACATTTGTTTTAATATTGGATTCGAACGGTAAAAGGGTTTGTAATACATACCAGCTGACAAATGGATTTCGTGTACAAGTAAAGGTAAGACCATAAACTTTTATTATTTCTAGTTAGAAATAAGGTCAACTGGAATAAATTTTAACCTCAAATTAAATATGGGTCACGTTTGTGTGAAGAATGCTGATATGAGTTATAAAACATAACGCATTGTCTGTTAACAGACCATTTGTTAACGGTTCATTTGTATTTGTAAATCTGACTGTAAAGGAGTCAGTGCCTCACCAGCTGTCAACCTCACCGCACGTCACTGATCTGAGGCTAGGGTTGGAGGCTGCCTTGAGCCAGGATACTCTGCAGAATGGAGAGAGGGTCGGGAGTGGCTTACTGTCAACACAGATGGGTCTCTTCACTCTACAGCTTGCTCTGACGTTACAGATTTATGTCCACTATTATGTGGACTATTAAATATCAGATCTCTCTCATCTAAATCTCTGTTAGTGAATGATTTGATAAGTGAACATCACATTGACTTATTGTGTCTTACTGAAACATGGTTACAGCAGGAAGAATATGTCAGCCTAAATGAATCCACTCCACCTAGTCACAGTAACTGTCACATCCCTCGAAACACAGGAAGGGGTGGAGGTGTGGCAGCGATGTTTGACACAAGCCTATTAATCAACCCTAGACCTAAACATAGTTATAACTCATTTGAAAGTCTCACCCTGAGTCTCTCACACCCAAACTGGAAAACTCAAAAGCCTGTTCTGTTTGTTATTGTATACCGTCCACCTGCTCCTTATTCAGAGTTTTTAAGTAAATTCTCAGACTTTCTGTCTGATTTAGTGCTTAGTACAGATAAAATAATCATAGTAGGCGACTGTAATATTCATGTAGATGCCGACAGTGACAGCCTCAACAATGCATTCTGTTCATTATTAGACTCAGTTGGCTTCTCTCAAACTGTAAATAAACCCACTCACTGTTTTAATCACACTCTTGATCTGGTTCTGACATATGGCATCAAAACTGAACACTTAATAGTTTTTCCCCATAACCCTCTTCTGTCTGACCATTTTCTAATAACTTTTGAATTTCCATTAATGGATTATACTCTATGTGGGAAACAATTCCACTACAGCAGATGTCCATCTGGCAATGCTGTTACCAAGTTTAAGGAAATAATTCCATCTTTATCTACTTCAGTGCCGTTTGCCAACACAGTGGAAGGAGGCCACCTTAACTTTACTCCCACACAAATCGATAATCTTGTTGATACTACTGCAGCCTTCCTGCGTAATACACTTATACCATTGCCCCTCTGAAAAGGAAGGCAGTGAAACAGAGAAGGCTAGCCCCATGGTACAGCTCGCAGCTCTGCTCCCTAAAGCAGGCATCACAAAAAATGGAAAGGAGGTGGCGCTCCACTAAGTCAGAAGAGTTTTCTATAGCCTGGAAAGATAGTTTAATAACATATAAGAAAGCCCTTCATAGTGCCAGAACCACATTTTATTCATCACTGATTGAGGAAAATAAGAACAACCCCAGGTTTCTTTTCAGCACTGTAGCCAGGCTGACAAAGAGCCACAGTGCTGTTGAGCTTAACATTCCCTTAGATCTCAGCAGCAATGACTTCATGAGCTTCTTTACAAATAAAATCACAACTATTAGAGAAAAAATTGATCGGACCACTTTCACAGCTCTCGTAGATGTGCCATCTACTACAATGGCTTTAGAAACATCTGTAAGACCTAATTTATACTTGGACTACTTCTCCCCTATAGACCTCAACAATTGCTTCATCTAAATCATCAACATGGCTCCTGGACCCCATCCCAACCAGGCTGCTCAAAGACGTCTTTCCCCTAATCAACACATCCATACTAGATCTGATTAACCTCTCTCTATTAACAAGTTATGTTCCACAGGCTTTTAAACTTGCAGTAATTAAACCTCTACTCAAAAAGCCTACTCTTGACCCAGGTGCCCTAGCTAATTATAGACCAATATCCAATCTCCCATTTATTTCCAAAATCCTTGAAAAAGCTGTTGCAAAGCAGTTATGTGACCACTTGCACAAGAATGATTTGAGGATTTTCAGTCAGGATTTAGAGTCCATCATAGTACAGAAACCGCATTGGTGAAAGTCACCAATGAAATGTCCACACAAGAAAGGTGTTCCATCAGGGGTTGGTTCGCACAAGTATATAAAGACAAACACACACGCACACACCACATGTCAGGAATCGGCGCGTTATGCTGCCAAAAATGTTGAGGGTGAACTCAATTAAAAGGCCAGACAAGGAAATGTAAAACAAAACCGTCTCTTTAATAAGAGAACTAACGCTAAACAAAACCATACAAGACACGGTGAAACACAAAAATCACAGGTCGGTATAAACAGTCCGAGATCAGAGCCAGCAAACACATACAGCAGAGGAATCCAAATACGTAGTCCAAAGGGAAGTCCGATAATTATACACAGTGACAGTCTGAAGCAAGAGGGCAAGGCAGAACAGAATAGTCAGAGGAACAAGCCGGGTCAAAAACACAAAGTACCAAAACCGAAAAATGCTGGAGAGTGAGAGGTGGCGTCTAGAACAATCTGGCTGGGATTGGTGGGTGAAGGCTGCTTATGATGCGGTGCAAACTATAATGAGCAGGTGAAACTAATGCGGGTGATGAAGAAAGTAAAAAGACCAAAACTGTGGTGAAACAAAACAGGACGTAGCATCAAAATAAAAGCCTGACAGGAAGCAACACAGAACCGAATCATGACACCACACCTCTCTCTCCCTATGCTTCTATATGCCCCCATTACACATTACTAACTTTGTTTCTCCTCTCTCCCGTAGTGTGTCCTCTCTCTCTCTCCCTGTAACTTTCTGCAGGTTGCCCTGGAGCTCTATATCTCTGACGAGCAGTCACCGGCCACATCGACCTGATCAGTGTTTGATTGTTGTGTCTTGTTGCTTTTCTTCTTTTGTCTCTCCTCTATCCACTCACCCCAACCGGTCGAGGCAGAAGGCCGCCCACCAAGAGCCGGGGTCTGTCGGAGGTTTCTTCCGTTAAAGGGAGTTTTTCCTCCCCACTGTCGCCAAGTGCTTGCTCAAGGGGGATTTGTTGGGTTTTCCCTATGTAATAATATTGATAACAGTAAGGTCTAGACCTTACTTTGTAAAGTGTCCTGAGATGACTTTTGTTATGATTTGGCACTATACAAATAAAATTTGATTTGATAACCTACCCAAGAGAGGCTCCATATCAACTCTGCATTCATTAATGACATAAAAGCAAAGTTGGTTAAAAAAACTATGACAAAATAAGCAAAAGCAAATTTGTAAAGTAAAGTTCAAATTTATTCTATAAATGTTGCTGCAAGAAATAGCCTCAAAGGCTTCATAATAGGCCCACTGGTTTATTCACATAGCCTACAGTAGTACTATACTCTTCCCACAGTAAAATAAATGTGTTAGCTTTCTCTATTTACATAGCCATGCCAAGTTAAAAGTACAATGAGCAGACCTATAGCTGCACTGGGCAACACACATCAGAAAAGTGCAAAAAGATTTGTGAGGTTATGTAAAGTAGGATCAGAAAAAAAAGTCCCCACCACGACCTCTTAGTGGGCTCCATAGTTGCTAGTTAGTGTGCTACAACTTTTTAAAGGTCATATTGCTTTACAGTTTTGCAAAATGTTACTTTTAAAGTTTTGCCAAAATACATATTAGCAGTTCCCATTTGTAATGTACTCATGGACATACAGACAGCTACCACTGGATTATTTGGAGATTTAAAAGACTAAAAAATGTGATAATTCTCAGGCATGTTCTGGAGTTAAAAGGACAGTCTATGATTTCTAAAAGGGTTTATGGATGTTTACTTGCATTGAAATATAGTCTATAATGTCCTCTGGAAGAGTGAGTCATACTTATTCTAAAAGTACATGTGCCATGTCTGCATGATCATCATTTACAGACAGAGGTGCATAACTGTTAAGCTAATTACAGGCACCGGTGATGCTGGTTGCTTTTGTCCACTATCAACTTGAAGTTTTTGCAAAATCTTGTCCATGTCTCAATTCACTGGCATAAAAAATATAAAAACTCTGAGTATAAATTAGACTGGTCTGAGGCTGCATATGACCTGAATCTTATACCTACTGAAAATTAAAAAAAACACAAAACCCGGAGTGTCATGTATGTGAGTAGTACTGTACCTGTATGAGGTGGTGTTGTAGATTCTACAGGCTCCTATGCCTCCACACCTTTTCTGACCCCATTTTAGGCATGTGGTGTCAATGATTGCTCCGAAATAGATGGGTGCAGGAATCCCTGCTGCAGGACCATGAACATTTTTACAATCAGAGCCTTCAGAATAAACTCACTCAGAAATGTTGATAAATACAAACACTTGGAGTGTATCTGATAGTTCAAGTGAGAGAAACATTTAGAGCAATGGCAAAAGTCTCCAGGCAGATTTAAAATCGGGATAACAAATGCTTGCACCTTACAGAATTTACAAGGAGACTTACCAAGGGTACGTGTTGCCAAAGCATGGAAACCCAAGGCCAAAGATTTCAGCTGTGGTTTAATACACCTGCATCAAGAAAAATTGTATACGTTATTCAGGAAACATCATCAGAAACTGGACAGACCCTGTCAGTTATATCTAAAGCACAAAACATTACACAGTCATAGCCTGTTAACTCATTTTCCTTTCTTAACCATAAGTGAAAAACTGAGAAATCTCAAGTTTAGACAAACAAATGTGCACATAAAATGTAAAAAAATGGACGTTCCATAAAATAAAAACTAATGTTTTGTTTTGTTAAGGTAGGAAGCACATTCAGTATGTTTGTTAGAACCTATGGACACGTACATCATGTCTAAAAAACTAAAAAAAAATCTACCTAAAAGGGGAATATCGTAATTTCCTTGTAACTTTCTCATCTCACAACTGACGTCTCTGAAGATGAACATTAACATTACGCGACATGGTTAACAAGGAAAAACACTGCACAAAGTCATTTCATTCCTGCCAGGCCGCTGAGTTCCAGAATCAGCTCACGTGGCTTTAGGAATGTCTGTATGTGTGTTCATGTGTACATGTGCATAGATGTAATTCCTTTAACATTCTCTCAATGAAAATCAGCATGTTATCTTGCATCTGTGGAAGGTCTCATCAGTAAGGCCAGTAGGAGCCAGCAGAGGGTGCTCTGGTGCAGAATATCACTGGGTCACAGTAGCTAGGCCACATGTATACATAGCAATACCTATGGTGAAATACCATATTATTGGTGTTTTAATGACAAGATTATGATTTTTCATTTCTTTATAACATAGCCATTTTATGTGTGTGAGTCAGACTGGTTGT